AAAAAAATAATAATAAAAAAAGACAATAAAAAAATAGTAAAAAATATAAAAAAAAGTAAAAAAATAAAATCAGCATTTGATAGTTATTTAAATTCTACTAGTAGATTTACTATTCTCCAGTCTTCTACTCCTTTCCAATAGATCAAAGTTGGTCTTCGTTCTCCACTTCTGCTTCTGCTTCTGCTTCTATTTGTTCTTATAGAAGACCTCAGGATAGGAGTAACAGATTCAACAGGAGTCACATTTTCTGATAATCAGTTAAAGGTTGAATTGGAGTTGAAGATGAATTGTTAGATTGAGGTTGAATTGGAGTCGAAGGAGGTTGAGGTTAAATTGGAGTCAAAGAAGGTTGAGGTTGAGTTGGAGTCGAAGGAGGTTGAGGTTGAGTTGGAGTCGAAGAAGGTTGAAGTTGAGTTGGAGTTGAAGGAGATTGAGGTTGAGTTGGAGTCGAAGGAGATTGAGGTTAAGTTGGAGTTGTTAGAGTTGAAGGTGTATTGTTAGGTTGCTATTGAGTTGGAGTTGTTGGAGTTGAAGATGTATTGTTAGGTTGACATTGAGTTGGTGTTGTTGGAGTTGAAGATGTATTGTTAGGTTGATGATGAGTTGTAGTAGATAGATGTCAGATTGTGGGTGTTGTTTGTCAGACTCTTTTTGTTCTAGCCATGGCAAAAGAGAATTTAGTGAAAAAAAATTTGAGAAGAGAAATTCGAGAAGTGAAAAGAAATTCAATAAGAAAAGGAGTAAAGAGAAATTCGATAAGAAAAGAAAAATTCCAGAAATTTAATAAGAAAATAGAAATTGAGAAATTCGATATGAAAAGAGTGAAATGAGAAATTCAAAAAGTGAAGAAAAATTTAGTAAGAGAAGAGAAATTATAAAAAAAAGAAAAATTTGGGAAGTAAAGAGATATTTGATAAAAGAAGAGAAGAGAAATTTGGGAAGTGAAGAGAAATTCAATAAGAAAAGAAAAATTTGAGAAAAGAAAAATTCAGGAGAAGAAAAAAGAGAAAAAAATTCGAAAAGTGAAAAGAAATTTGGGAAGTGAAGAGAAATTTGATTAGAAAAGAAAATTCAGGAAGTGAAAAGAAATTTGGTAAGAGAGAAGAAAATAGAAATTCAGTAAGAAAAAAAAAATTTAAAAAAAGAAAGAAATTCGAGAAATGAAGTGAAGTGAAGTGAAGTAAAGGGAAGAAAAGAGAAATTCAAAAAGAGAAGCGAAAAAAATTTTGAAAGAGAAAATTTAGTGAAAAAAAAACTTTGAAAAGAGAATTTTGAAAAGAGAAATTCAGAGAAAAGAAATTTAGAGAAGAGAAATTTAGAGAAGAGAAAAGAAGAGAAGAGAAGTTTCTCAAAAAAAAAAAAACTGTTTGAAATAGTTGTATATATAAATAATTTTTAAATTCCGATCGCTTAACAAAAGTTGACTTCGCTATGAACAATATATTATGAGACGTAAATTTGATGAAAAAAAAAAAACGATCTGTTATGTGCCAAAATATAACTTTTGATATGTTATAAGCCAATACATAAATTTGACTTTAAAAAAAAAATCGATCGTTATACGCCAATATGTAAATTTGACTCATACTATTGAAAAAAAATCGATTAGTTATACGTCAATATGAAAAAGAAATCAATAACTTTCGATATATTATAAGTCAATATTCGACTTTATACTATTGAAAAAATTGATCTGTTATGTGCCAAATATGTAAATTTGACTTATACTATTGAAAAAAAAATTGATCAGTTATATGTCAATACGAAAAAGAAATCAATAACTTTGATATGTTATAAGTCAATATTTGACTTTATACTATTGAAAAAATTGATCTGTTATGCGCTAATATATAAATTTGACTTATATTATTGAAAAAAAAAATTGATTAGTTATACATCAATACAAAAAAGAAATCAATAACTTTCGATATGTTATAAGTTATTATTTGACTTTTTACTATTGAAAAAATTGATCTGTTATGCACCAATACATTACTATTAATAGGCAATCTGCCAGTCACCTGGATAAAAAATTTATATAAATTTTATTATAAGTGCGAATGCACAGCGCTTCTATCTAAAACTTTTTTTTATACTAAGTAAATCACTCTTCGGCTTCTAACAAA